AGCCTTGAGCCCTGCATTCTCTAAAGGTTGCCACAAAGTAAAAGATATTACATGGATGCAATATCTCATCTGTGATGTAAAGAGAATAGAATTTCCAAAATCACTGCCATTTTTTATCTTCAGGACATAAAGTAGTAGCTGACAATGATTTAGTATTGGCTGTGTGCTCAGGCTCCGTACTGTGTATTTGGTATGCTTTGCCGTAGTCCAGCGTCACCATAGCCCTAAGATAGATGTCCTTGTCTCCCCAGTTAGAGATGAAGAAGCTGAGGCTCAGAGAGGTTAACTGACTGACCCAAGGCTTATGTCTTTAGTCCTGCTGAATGTCAGAGGCCCAGGTCTTCTGGAAGATTATGTAAGCGGAGTCTGTACAATGCCATTCTTACTGTGTAGGACACACACCATGCTCTAAACACAGCCATGCTGTGAGATGCCATGAAAATCCCTCTTCAATGTGCACTGAATTGTTGCTCAGTCCAGGGTGTCAGACATGCCTTATACCGAAGAATATTCTAGAAACATATTGTCTTTGTTGACTAAAACCTTAAGGACACAGATCGCTCACAATGAAGTGAGAACCTTGAACCACATCTCTAAATCCTGTCATGTTATCAGTTATCCTTCAGAATCAGGCCTCACTCACATCCCCTTGAGTAATTACCACAATGCAGATACTCTTCTACTTTCTGACATTTTTATTTTAAAATCGGATTTTTTTCCCTCCCCAGGAATTTGAGTATGAAAAATGTTGTGAAATACATAGGTACGAAAATCTGGTTGTGATGTTGGCTACATGCTGATCATTGGGGAGGATTTACTGTTAATTTATTTGCAGTGTACATTTCCTACTGTTCCATGTAAGCTGTGATTGGCCAAAACCATTACGATTTTGAAATTTCTGTTACTGAACTGTAACCACAAGCCTCACACATTCCTCAAAGATAATAAGAGTTCATCTGACAGTAAGGCACCTGCAAAAGTTAATTGATACTTTATGTATTAATATACAATTGAAAGTATAATTCAAATATTTAACCCTGTGATTGTCAACGTTTTTAAGCTTTAAGATCTAGGAATCTCTGACTTGCTACTAACCCTGCACTAAACTTCGCCCAGGCTGGAAGATATCCTTGGATGCCCCTACGACTCAGTTGAAATCTTCGATGGCCCCAGGATTGCCTCTCTGTCCATGGGGAAATTCTGCGCCTCAGCAGCTGTGATGTTTTACTCCTCCTCAAACATCGTAACTGTGGTGTTCCGGAGTGATTCTATGATCACCAACACTGGCTTTTATGCTCAGTTCAATGCGATTGAGCAGGGCCAAAGAGAGTCAGGTAGGAAGCTTCAAGTAGGTTTTTGTTCTTGAAAAGACAGAATAATTTTCTAATTTAAGAAACTCCCTTATTAGCAGAGAGGCCTGGGATTCAGTTTTAAAAGCCCCGTACACACTTAGCTCCATAAGCCCTGCTGCATTGCTGCTAGATTTTTTTCACTAAGAGGACCACATGGGCGATTGAAATAAAGCAGTGATGTGCAGCCTGTGTATAGATGAGCAGGTTGCTTCTCCCCGCAACAGCAACTAACACTGCCCCAACCCCGGGGGAGCTGTCCAGGGTGCTGGAACCTAAAAGCCAAATTTTTGAGAATTCTCTTCCCTCCACCAGCTGGCGCACTTCACACCTTGCCTGTATTGGACCAGAGATTCATCCAGATAAGCAGAGGCTTGGGGACTCCTTCAGCCATGGCCCTATAGGCAGTCGTTACAGAGCCAGGTCCAGTTTGCACCCAGTAAGTGTACTGTCTGCCAGTTGTGAGACCCCTGATTCTCAGGGGTCCCTACAGGAACCCCAGTAACTCTTTCAGATCACCAGTAAGTCAGGTAGTAACTCCCTGCTTGTATTTTAAGGCTGGGGGTTGGATGTTGGTTTCTGAGTAAAGGAATTTATCTATTTGACCTTCAAAGGCAGGTTAGAGACCTTGCTTGGAGAGGCTCAGTAAGGTCCACCATTTGAAGTCCAAGTCCAGTCATTGGCTCAAGGTCATCATTTACTCATCCAGTAGTACTTACTGAGGTCCTCCTGTGCGCTAGGCCCAGTTATAAGTGCTGAGAACACAGAAAACAGTACCGTGCTTTTTCCTCATGGAGTTTACAGTAGAGTGAATGTGGGTGAGTGAGGGAGGGTCAGGGCACAAGATGATTTGCACGTAGTGGTAAGGCTGGGAATACAGAACCACGTGAGATAAAAGAGAGTGCCTGGGGTGGAGGACGTGCTACCGTGGATTGAACAGGAAAGGACAGCTTTGCTGAGGAGGTGATGTGCAGTGAATGACCGTGAAAGGACATTCCAGGCAGAGAGTAGCAAAGGTAAAGGCTCTCAGGGAGGAAACAGTTGGACGTGTTGGAGAAAAAGAAGGCCAGTGTGGAAGAGCCTGTGGCGACAGTAAGAGAAACCCATCCCTAGGGGTCTCCCAGAGACAGCAGGTAATTCCAGCTGGCCTGTTGGCCCAGAAATAGCCATTCCTTGGGGTTTTATGAAGCCATAGACACCCTTGTGGCCAGGCACCTTTAAGGGACTGTATGTACACTTATCCAAGTGCTTACGCAAGTTGTGTCCAAAAAATACAGCTGGGAACCTATTTCCCCGGGAGCCCAGGTTTGTGAGCCAGAGAACCATACAGCAAGATCTGCAGAAACCACAGTGTGCTGGGGCTGAGCACTGTGTTTTATATTCATGCTCCATTTGACTTGTCACCACAGCCCTCTGAGATACATGCTGCTAGAGAGTCCATTTTACAGATGAGGAGACTGAGGTCCAGGGAGGCAAAGTAACTTGTCAGAGGTTACACAACTGGGGACCTGTAGAGCTGGGATCCAAACCTACCTGTCTCACCCTTAAGCCTAACATATTGCGGAATTAAGACAGCCCTAAAGCTTTGCTCTTGCATTTATTTGCCTTAGCCACCAGCGTGGAAGCTAGAAATCCTTCCTACTTAAACCCCAGAGTCAAAAATAAAATCCCACTTTGTTTAAAAGATGGACCAGAGCTGCGGCTGGGTGGGCGGCTCAAGACGGTGCTCAGGACATGTGGAGGTCCTGCACCAGGGGTCCTGGGGCTCCATCTTTGACAACCTGTGGGACCTGAACGAGGCCAAGGTTGTGTGCTGACAGCTGGGGTGTGGACAGGCCATCACTGCCCCTGGAAAGGCCCACTTCGGCCCAGGCTCTGGAGACATCCTGCTGGACAGCATTCAATGTTCAGGAAGCGAGAACCACCTTGGCCAGTGCCCTAGCTCTGGTTGGTCAGACCACAATTGTGGTCACCATCAGGATGCTGGCGTCATCTGCTCAGGTACATCTCCTCCCATGGCGGGTCCTTTCAGCCAGCAGCATCTCAGTGATGGAAGGAGGGTGTGCACAGAGCAGGGCCAGGGAAGCTAAGGATGGTGGCCTGATAGATGAGCGTGTCTTCAGCCAGGTTGACAGAGCACGCTGAGAGCTGGGCTCCATTGTGAACCCGCACTCCAGGGCTGCACAATGTCAGGTCGTGTTCTCTGCAGCCTCTCCCAGGTGCGGAGCTGCTTCTGCAGAGTCTAAACAGGCCCTGCTCTCGCTTGTGTAACATGAAGCCTGCCTGCTTGAGGTATGCCCACACTAGAAAACCATCACTTGTCTTCATAAAATTTAACTTAGATTTCCTAAACACATCTCTTTTTTAATCCATGCAGATGCTGGGGACCAGGCTCCAGACGTGACTTCTGCACCCCCAGGTAGGTCTGACACTGAATTTCCAATATCTCTGCAAAGTGAATAAGAAATTTAACCTCAGTCGTGACTGAGACACAGGTAGACAGTGACCTAGACACTAGAAGCACACAAGGAGGTTTTAAAATTCCTGCTGCCCAAGCTGCAGCCCAGATCAGTCCCATCAGAGCCTCTGGGATCACACCCAGCTGTCAGTAATACTGAAAACTGTCTGTGTGACTCCAACACGGAGCCAAGGTTGAGAACCAGTGATTTGGACAACCAGCTAAGAGTCACATTTCCCAAATGAAATGACATCCTGAAAGCTCCTCCCTGGACAGCAGAGCGAGGAGGGGAATGAAGGAAGGTGGTTCCATCATGTGGCTGAGAAGAGCGTTGGTATGGAGAGGGGAGGAAGGGGAGAGGTTTGCGCCTCAGGGATATGGATTAGAGGATGAAAACCTGCAAGACAGCAAAGATGCCTTGAATGTCGAACTCTCCCAGTGGGTCAGGAGTAGACTGGGGGTAGGAAGTGAAACCACTTGGGGCTCCTCTGTGGGCCAGCACAGCAGGGACAGAGAAAGGGGACACCTTCTTCAGGTAACCTAGTCCAAGTCAATGTGCAGCAGTGACCCCCCAACTCAATGTTCCAGCTGATTATATCAGAGCACGTGTGGTCCTGCCTCTCCAGGACTGGCTCTCAGCTGCCTGCTTCCCTGCCAGCTGGTGCCCTGGGCACCTGCCTCCAACTCCTCCCCAGACTTACTCAGTGATTACTGCCACTCTTTCCCCTCAGTAGGGTCCTGGGTGTGGGGAAGGTCCAGGGTGCACCCTGCAGTGTTTGGGGGCCAGGCAAGGTGGCTAGTAGCTGTCCTTATCCTGGGCTGGCAGCACTATGCTGCATTTGGAGGGACACTAGTGGGGGCGTCTTACCTCAGTTCAGGTTCCGAGGGCGTCCCAAGTGAAAGTCGCCGCCCCTGCAGGCTGCCCTTCTGGTATGGGTTGCAGAGGCGGGCCTGTGGGAAGAAGCCCATCTCACTTTATTGGAATACTTGTCCAACTTACCTTTCCCCACTGTGGTGCTCAGCTTTCCAGTTTCCAGCATTTGCAGCATTTTGGCATCTCTTAAATTTCTACTGACACAGTGGCATGCTCATAAGCCAAGTGATGTTACTGTGGGTGATGCCTCATGAGTGGTCAGTCTCAGGACAACCCTTGGGTTGGAGGACCCAGAAAACCAATCATGTAACTTCACTGTCTGTGATTTCCTGGTAAATCACTGAGAGAAGGGGAGAGCTGCCTTTCAGATCAAGGAGAAGAGAGGGAAGAGTTTGTTCACACTCTGCATTAAGACTCAAGAGTAGTGGTGGCTTCATTCATCTGTGCTTACATATAGGATGATTTTTATCATGCTAAGCTCTTGCCTGATTTTGTCTGGTTTTGATTTTTGCAGCTGCCATTTCTCAAGCACCTATCCCACAAGGTAACTCTCTTTCATTGAAAATATAACCTGTAAAGGATGGAATCATGGTGATAGTTCATAAAAGGAGGACAGACATCTCCTGTTCTGGCCTGAGGGGGAGGAGTTGGTGGGGCAGAGCCTTCGCAAGTGGTTGGATTGTCTACATCTCAGTTGAGCTGATTTGCATGCCAGGAAGCTGGGGAGACCATCGATGCCATATCGCTGGACACCCAACACGTGCCACATCCATATCCACATTCATTTCCAGTCTAACCTGCAGTTTTAAGATTGTGTCTACCAGTTATACATCTCCCCTCCTCCCTTACTCCCTCTCAGGGGTATAGTCACCCATCCACCAAGCCACAACTATGTCAACACCAGCACAGTCCTTTCCCTTTTGTGATTCACTGTTTAGCTTGGAATTCTGGATTCTATCCCTGGGGAAATGCCAGGGGTGGGCCCAGAGAATCCAACCCCAAGTCTCTTATCTGCTTTCACAGGAGGAAGTAACTCTTGTGGGGGAGTCATTTCGAGCCTTTCGGGCTCCTTCTCCAGTCCTTGGTATCCAACAAACTACCCCACCAATGTGGAGTGTGTCTGGGTGATACACCTGGCTGAGAAGTTCCTCATAGAGCTGACCATCCCCAGCCTGAAGTAAGCAACTTTGTCTTTCTCCACTTCAAAGGCCAGATGGGATTTGAATCCATGCTTTGCCCAAGCGAGCACCTTTCCAAGTGTCTGAGTCATTTCAGCCATTGTAGCAAGAACACAATGAACTGGGTAGCTTAATATGCAGCAGCAGTTTACTTCTCACAGTCCTGCAGGCTGGAGAGTCCAGGACCAGCGTACCAGCACATTTGATGCCTGGTGAGGACCCATGCATGTCCTGGTTCCTAGGTGGTCGTCTTTCACCATGAGCTCGCTGGTGGGAGGGACAAGAGATGTTTCTCAGGCCTCTTTTATAAGGGCACTGATCCCATCATGAGGGCTCTGCCTCATGAACCAATCTCTTCCCAAAGGCCCCACCTCCTAATACCATCGTATTGGGGGTTAGGTATCAACACAGGAATTTTGAGAAGACACGCGCATTCAGCCAACAGCACGATGTGACACATCCTTTCACACTTTAGGTGAAAATTGGTCAGCTGAGCTTAGGGAGTCTTATAATCACTGAGCCCAACTTCCTCTGCAATCGGAGAAGACCCCATGAACATCCTGACACCATCCCCAAGGGACCCACACGTGAAGACCTCACCCCTCCAATCACAGCCAGCTCCATTTGGGGCTCGCCTCTTCCTGCAGCTGAACTCAGATCTCATGTTCTCCATGACCATTTTCTGATCTTCAGTCTTCCCTCCGATGCTGCACAAAACAAATCTGCTTCCTCTTCCCTTCAAGAATTTCTATCATATTATTTCTAAGATTTTTCTTTTACAGATCAAATAGCGTCAGTTCCCTTATTCCTCATATTATGTACATTGGATTTCCTACTTCTTTCTCCAAATATCACCCATTTTTAAAGGAATTTATCCCATTTCAGTGCATATTCATATGCACGCATATGTATTCATATTCACATACATATAGACGAGAAATTTTTTAGTGAAAATACTACTTTTCCTGGTAACGTTTAACCCTGGTTTCATCTTTCTACACTGGGTCGCATCTGGGTCATCCTCTCTCCCTGACTTTGTCGCACAGTCTATCCAGACCTCTCCCACTGCTTTCCATCTGCGTTCGTTGGCCGCAGCAGTCCAGGATGTGAGTGGTTAAATGCTGCCTTCAAATGTAATGGGTAGACAGTGGAGTGTTAGTTTTACATGATGCCTAAACTTCCTTTCAAGTGGGAAGGACGTGACTAGTGTTAAGCAGCTTTATGTATTACAAGCAAAACGCATTTATCGTTTGTTCACTCCACACCCATTTATTTGTTGAAAGCAATGTGAGAAGATTTGGTACCATATATTTCAAATCTATGAACTTCATAGCGCTAACGTTTTTCGGGGCACAGAGCAACATTTCATCACTTCTGGAAAATGGTTATTCCGAATAACTGTAATGACCCATACGTCCTGCAATCTCAAGGGAAGTATTCCAGTGGAAACGTTCTACAATCATTTCAGAGCACACAAACGAAAGACTGTTTAAGATGTCGCTTAGAGGTAGAGCTTAGTTGCTGATTTCTGGGTTTTGATGTTTTTAAGTCTACATTTATCGATACTTGCTTTCTGTTTCTTAGGACATAAAGTTAGTTATTACTTGCTCCAGTAAATGTCAACTGGGAATGATTCTACCTCCCCTCAGGACATTTGTTATGTCTGGAGACATGTCTCAGTTGGGAGCGCCATTGTCATATAGTGGGTGGAAGCCAGGGGTGCTGCTAAGATTCCTACAATTCACAAGACAGCCCCCGGCAGCAAAGAATTATCCATCCCCCGTGTCGATGGTGCTGAGACTGAGAAACCCACAGTGAAGGTGTAAGGTGTGCCCTGTAGTGTCACCTGTTACTACCACACTGTTGTCACATCACACACAGATGTTAGCACTTCTTCTTAATTTAAAAAGGAGTTATTTTGAGGCACTTGGCTCTTATTTCATTGGAAGAGATGTTTTCTGCAACAAACAGGTTTCCAAATTCAGTAGTCTGTGTACTAATGTCATTGTGCCCCTTGTGCTATATATTATGCAATGAGCATTTATAATGCCTGTGTCAAAGGCCACTCTTGTTCAGGTAAAATGTGCCTACCTCACTTTTTCACTGTGTTAGGTAAGTGTTGATGTTCTTTAACATAGATTTATTGAGCCCACTTTCTGCGCAGGTCCTGGTCTAGGAATGGGTTTATAGTGCTGAAAAAGACAGATAAGAGCTCTCATTGCGTTTGCATTCCAGATGGTACTTGAGAAAACCAGTAAGTCACTGGACAATTTCAGTTAGTGATAAGTTGATAAGTGCTATGAAGAAATACACACACACACATACTTGGTAACAAGATAGTGAAAGGCATGAAGACAGCTTTCGAGATACAGTGCCAGGGACGGCATCTCTGATCACCGAGGTTAGATGAAACATGCAGGAAAAACACTTGATTTGAACTGAGCAGTTTGGGGCATTGGAGGGAAGAGTCCTACTCAGTAGGCCCTCAGAGCTTTGACAGCTGTCACCATATCTCCCTGCACTGGCTCTTGAGAGTTTCACTCAGTGAGACCCTAGTGGACACTTGCCACCACCCCAGGAAGTGGCAGAGTTTGAATGACAAGTCAGGAGACATCCTGGAGACACTCAAGGTAGAGGGAAAGACTCAAAGCCAGTTGGAGGTTCCTGAAACAGACCAGGCAAGAGGTGATGGGCGGCTGACTGACCTGGCCCAGTCCCAGTAGGGGAGGACAGGAGGGCAGATTCGGGCAGTACTTGAGGGGTGAAGTCCACTAGTGAGATGTGTGGTTGGAAGGCGGGGCAGGGACGATGGCAGTTTCTGGCTGGATGTGATGCAAGGTGTGATTTTTTGTAAGACATTTCTGCAGATTATCTTGGGGAGCTTAGCTCTGCCTTTTCCGCCTCAGGTTAGAGGACAGCCATGGGTGCCCTTATGACTTCGTTGAAGTGTTTGATGGACGGCAAGTTGCCTCACTCTCCATGGGCAGATTTTGTGCTGGGACCAAGCTCACGTTCCTCTCCTCCTCAAACATCATGACTGCAGTGTTCAGAAGTGACGCCATAATCACCAACACGGGGTTTTATGCTGTGTACAGCGCCATCCAGCAGGATGAAAGGGAGAGTGGTAGGTATCCGAATGTGTGCCTTGGAGGGACATTAGATCCTTTCCCTTTAAGAGAGGAGATCTTTCTAAATCTGCCCTGCAGACTCCACCCACACTACCAACACCCTGAGTGACATATCCACACTGACACTAACAGGGCCGGCTGGCAGCCCGCCCCGCCCCCTGCTCTGCCATTCACTGTCACCTTCCTCCACCAGAGCATCCTGGCTGAAGAGACAGATGGCCAAGCCTCACGTCTTGCCTTGGCTTTGTGTGTAGAAGGGAGATCCAAACAACAGACTCTGTCTTCTTTATAGGAAGGGAGAGTGCAGTTGGGCAAATCCTTCTGGAACAAAATCGTCTCAAACTACAACTACCAGCCCATCTGCTTCCAACTGAATTCAATACAAAAACCATCCAGAACACTTACTATGCAGACCTCTTAGGTCCTGCAGCAAGATACGGGGAACATTCCAGAGCTCTCAGTGGATAAGGGTTAGGGTGACTGTAATTTATCCTTCAGTCGCAGTACTTTTGAGAATTTAAAAGGGACTTTAAAATAATTAACAGGCATAAAATAATACACCAGTCATGAACCAGGGCTATCCCTGGTACATCAGGACATAAGGCCGCCACACCTAAAGTCCAGCTGCCTAACATGGCAAAAGGTGCCCATATTAGAATGTTTGGCATTCTCTGTCTGCACAGAAGGTCCTTGAGTGTGGGGACAGCACCACACCTCAGAGTCATACCACCCCCACCCCCAGCAGCCTCCGGGGAGGGAGAAGCCAATTACGCAGGAAGGAGCTGTGGGCTTCAAGCCCTCTTAAGTCAAAGTCAGTGTACCCTAAGGTAGTTTTCCTTCTTTTAAATTGTTGTGCTTGTAGAATGTTCCAGATCCTACCTTAAAAGTTGTGATGATCAAATAGAGGCTTTGTATCACCAGGCAGCCCTTTCCTGGATGGACATGCCATGGTGCTGGTGACAGTCCACTGTCTTCTCAGTAGGACTAGGAGCCAGTGTCCAGAGAGTGTTAAACACATGCCAGGCTCTGTGCTAAGGCCAGTGCTTCCAGGCTCTCGCTGACTCTCCACAATCGCTAGTAAAGTGAAGGCCGTCCGCATCCACGGTTACTGACAAAGCAGCAGAGTGCGTCTAGGATCACACACAGGCCCGGGCTCCACGGTGCTGTGTGAAAGGCTGGCCTCAGCTCTGCGGCTAAAGTTCCTCAGCCCCATAACAGGCCAAAAGCAAGTAAATGCCATGTTTTCCGTTTGCTTTCAATTTTGGCGCTTCCAGCAATTAGATGATCCATCAGGAGACTGGAAGGCAGAGGGTGCCCCCTCACCCTGTAGGCACTGACTGGGCTGCCAGTCTCTCACCAGCATGGATGGGTTTTGATACTTCACTCCCAGCTGCCCAGAACAGAATGTTTTTGATCCTTAAAAAAACAAAAACAAATAAACAAAAACCTGATTTCCTTTTCTGACTTTTGTGGCTGTCTTACTCAATCCATCTCTCATTCTCTTTTCTGTCTTGGAGCAGGCACTGATGACACTCGGGAAGTAGGACCAACAGGTACTGTTCTTCCATGCATTTCAACCCGTTGCCAGGCCCCTGAAATAAGCAAATCCTAGCTACTCTTTAACCCTGTAATTGGGTCACAGTCCAATTAAATTATCTGTTGTCAGTTAACGAGCAATGCAACCCATTAGCATTGGCAAAATGATGGAGCTGAGGGGAGCAGCAACGGGTGGGGAGAGAGATCAGGGGGAAGGAAAATTCAGGAGTAGAGGGGTGACCCGGGGACACTGGGGGACTGGAGACACCCACCATAGCTCCTGTCTGGAAAGCAGGAAGACAAGCCAGGCCAGTCGTGCCGTTTTTACATCTCCCGTGTCTTGTAGAAGCAAGTATGCCTGATACGGCTGTCTTACTGCTGCCTTGTTTTTGTCCATCTGCAGCGTCAGTCTCAAACACTGTGACCACCGCACCAGGTAAAACGCTGTCTGCCGTCCTGTAAGTGCCTCTTCTTGGAGTTCCAGTTATCAGACTAGGCTGTTCCACGGATATTTTGTCCCCAGCACAGCCTCAGTGAAAAACAGAAACCCAGAAGTCTTCTCCACTGGTATTTAAATTTCGTCTTCTCTCTTTTCTATAGCTGTCTCTTCAGCCTCAATGGAAAGGACCTCTCTACCTGGTAAAGACTCTCTCATTATGGCGTTTTAGTGAATGAGACTAGCTTCTTACTTAGCATGTTCTATTTAAAAAAATGAGCCCATGTGGTCATTAGACCACAAAGTAGACCTCAATGAAAAGACACATGGAAACATTTTTTTCTCTCATTTTTAAGCGTCCTATTTTCTTTGCTTGTACAGATGTAGCTTCAACCTCAGCAGAAGTGGACACCCCTTCTGGTAATGTTTTCTGCCTGTCACATTTCTTACGTTAAATATGGTCAACTCTCCCTCTATCTGTTTAACAAATGAACATATATGCTGAATATTTTGTCTACCGAATAAGCCCCCATATAAACAGAAGTCCCAGCATTCTTTTCACAGAAATTAAGCCTCCTGTTCTCCTAATTCATCCTCAGACACAGGAGCGGTCCCTCCGCTGCGGAACACCTTCTGCTTGTTGCACTGGTCTTAATCATGTGCATGAGAGAGGCGAGGGCTGGGGTCCACACTGCCGCCGGCTTGGTGGTGTGTGTGATGTTTCAGGTGATCCTGTGGCCCATCCAGCACACCCAGATGCATCCACTAGAGACCCAGCTTGTGATAGCATTGGTGCTACTCATTCACTTTTCTGTCTTCACCTGCACTCACTGTGGCTGAAAAAAACACTCCATTTTCTTTTCCCTAATATCAGAGTTTGATTCTTCTTTGTTTGCAGATACAACTCCCACTTCAAGCGAAGCACCTTCCTCACCAGGTACCTCTCTGCCCTTTTCAGTAGCTCTGGTGAGGACTTTCTGAAAAAGCCCAGCCCATCAAGCACTTGCCCACCCAGAGTAAACCCTTCCTGTTTCCCCAGCAGAGATTGGGAGAGAGGGGACGGGAGGCTGGGGAGGCTCCAGGCCACTCCCCCGTCACTGGTGATGGTTCTGACGTGGTGAAGGCAGATGCAGGCACATGGTAAATAGGCCAAAATAGCATCACATGTCAACCCTGAGGGAGACCTTAGCAATGACCCCCCCCACTGGTTCCCAAGTGTTCCTGTGCAAGTGAATGGCCTGGAGAACTTACCAAAATGCAGAGTCTGATTCAGTGGCTCCAGGTAGAGCCTGAATTCTGCATCTCTCACAGGCTGCCAAGTGATGCCCATGCTCTTGGTCATGGACCACGTTCGACGAGTAAGATGCTAAACCACAACCCTTGTTTTGGAGGCAAATGAGGCCCAGAGAAGGAAGAGGCTTGCTCTAAGGTCACTGTCTTAGTCAGCTAGCACTGCCATGACACCACAGGCCGCATGGCGTAAACAACAGAAATTTATTTTCTCACAATTTGGGAGACGAGAAGTCCCAGACCAAGGTGACAGCAGCGTCGATGTCTGCTGAGGGCTCTTCCTTTGGGTTAGAGAGGGCCTCCTCCCACTGTGTGCTCCCGGGGCCCCTGCTCAGTATGTGCTAGCGGAGACAGAGAGGGCGCTGGTGTGTCTTCTTTTAAGGACACCAGTCCTGTCGGTTCAGGGCCACAACTCTATGACCTTATTTAACCTAATTACTTCCTTAGAGGCCCCGTCTCCAAACGCAGCCACGCTGGGGGTTAGGGCTTCAGCATATGAATTTCGAGGGGACACAGTGCCGTCCGTAGCAGTCACAGAGCTAGCGCAAGGCAGGCCTGGGTCTCTCACTCACATCCAAGGTTCTCTGTTCTCAGGCTTTGCTGATAAATTCATCTGTATGATTCTCCCCAAGCCCCTGATCTTTTCGAGGCCCGCTGCTTTCTTCTATTTAATTTAATTTTTTTTCAATTCCTGGTTCCATTGAAGACATTTGAGGTAAGACTCATGAAACCAAAGTTTAGGGCTTTCTTTTCACTTATATTGAGTTTTACCTGCCAACCTTCCTGCCTCCCATCCTCCCTCCATCCTTCACTTCCCTCTTTCCCTGCTCCCACTGAGACTCCACTTGTGAAGGATTCCTTCATTTGTGATTCTCTCTGCCTTTTGGTATCACGTAAGGCGAGCTTTTCTTTGTAGACCTGGTTGATGCTCCCTGGGTTGCTTTGCACGCAGATGAGACAGCACTCACACATTTTACTTCCTTTATGAAAGCATGACAGCCAAAACCACTTCCTGCAGGAAGTGCCTCTTGGAGCGTGAGGACAGATGTGGTGGCCACTGAACCATTACCTTCCTTCCCCCTCATCCTTAACTCACCTCACCAAGCCCAGAGTGAATGTGGGCCCCACGTCGTATGCCCCAGGAAGGCAGAGGGTGTAGGAAGAGTGTACGCGTTGAGGCCTCACAGATTTGTACTGTTGACGACCTGGACCTGGAATACAATTTCTCTCCATCATGACACCTTCATCTCTAAAATAGCGTTAACACTTACCTGGCACGTGTGTTGTAAGGATTAGAGACGCAAATTACGTGAAGCATTGTAGATGCCCATAATGGGAACTGTCCAACGACCTTGTGGAAGACCAACTTCTCATTTATCATTTCTCCCCTGAATGTGAAAATCCACAAGACAAATAAGCAGGGTGGATTCTCTTATACACAGCTGTGGAACAGGCTTGTTTTCATAAACTTACAGTTCTACAGTGTAAAATGTCATGAAGTCAGATGTTAATACTTGCTTTTCACTAGAAAAAAAAATTTTTTTTTTTTGGCAGCCACAGATCTGATTCTAACAGAAGTGACACCATCATCTGGTAATGATCATATGACTGTTGCTAGATTAGCCCTTAGTTTTACGGTAATTTATACACCATACTCTATTAGAAAAGTCGGCTGTTACTTTTCTTACCTTGCTTCCTTCTGTATATTTTCATATGAAATTACACTTCCCAGACATGATCTTTCTCTTACCTATAAATATTTCTGACATCTGACTTGATTTTCTTCATTTTCAGCCCCTGTAAAAATCGAATGCTTTTAAATTCTTCCTTTCAAAAATTCAGTACATTTATAAAGCTGCTTTTCTAACCATTTAATAACAATAGTTGATTTTGGAGAATAAACAGCACACAATACCACCTGTTATATTTTGAAGCCAAGAAAATAAAACTTAATAGACTGCTTTCTGCACCCAAACCAAAGGAGAAACCTAAACAAAAGCATTAGTGTCTAGACTCAGAGGAGATGTTTGGTTCTTTTTTTGGCTTTGAATATAAATATGTGACTTTGAGGGTATGCATTCTTTAAGCTTAGTTTTTCTTTTTAACAGTTTCAATTTCAGTTGCTGAAAAAATGGCCCCTTTACCTGGTAATTTTTGTTTGTTTCTAAGCACTAAAATGATCATATCATTACTGTTAAGATTGTGTTTCTTTTTCATTCAGATTTCCTACTCTTTACAGAAAACTTTTATAGCTTTTAGGTGTATATGTGCAGACAGAGATGTGTGCACACAGACACTTTTGGGGGTTGGAAGCTCCTAATTCACCTCCTGAGGCCTCACTCAGGAAATATATGCCTTTATTCATAGTTCAGATAAGAATGGTTATCTTGCTTCTGGTATCACAGCAACAAATTAGATGAGGAGAGAAGCTGAGGCCTTCCTGGCCCAGGATATTTCAATTTCAGAGAAACTGACGCCAGGGGTGCCTCTTATCATTCACTGAGTATCTTCTATGTGCCGAGCAGAGCAGGAAATTGAAAAATATTCTCTAGCAGCCAACTTATATGAAGATAAATCATTTTACACATTATGTTGGCACCACCCACATAAGATAGGCTTTATTTTTTAAATTACTTTTATTTTTAAAATCACCTTTTTTGAAGTATAATTATATACAATAAATTTCACGTATCTGTGAGTTTTGTCCAATGTATGCAACTGTGTAACCACCACCACGGTCAAGATCTAGGGCATTTCCATCACCCCAGAAAGTAGTGCCCTCCTTCACCCCTTGCAGTAAAGCCCTTCCACTTGCCCCAGCAACCACTGACCTGTTTTTTGTCACTGTGGACTAGGTTTGTTTTTCTAGAATCTCATATAAATGAAATCAAATCATTGTGCTCTTTTGTGTCTGACTTCTTTTGCTCAACAAATTGTCTTTGAGATTTGTCCAGGTGGTTCCATATATTGGTAACTTTATTTCTTTTTTTTCCCTTAGTAATGTTCCATCATGTGGATATACCACAATTTATTTATCCATTCTCCTGTGGATGGACATTTGGATTGTTTCCAGTTTTTGTCTATTGTTGAGAATTCTGCTATACACAAATCTTTCTGTGGACATATGTTTTCATTTATCTTGAGTAAATACCTAGGAATGGAACAGCTAGGTTACATAATATAGGGGTTTTTTTTAAATTATTGAGATATAATTGATACGTAACATTAGTTTCAGGTATCAACATAATGATTTAACATTTATATATATATGGAATGATCACCACAATAATTCTATTTAACATCCATCATCAAATATAGCTATAATTTTTTTCTTGAGATGAGAACTTTAAAGATCTCGCTTAGCAACTTTGAAGTACGCAATACAGTATTAGTAACTATAGTCACCATGGTGTATGTTATTACATCCCCCGGACTGACTGACTTTAGTACTGGAAATTTGTACCCATAGAGTTCTTACAGTTAAAATGTTGACTTTATCCATCAAGAAAAAAAGAAATTTCATTGGATGAATTTGTTTTGGTGAGTCAGGGCAGTGCCATATTTTAGAACAATTGTCTAAGCAAAGATTTCCGGGGGTGGGGGGTTGCCTCTTTTGTTTGGTTTTCTTTGGGTTTTTAGTATTTTTATTTAAAGATTAAGTTCTTGAGTATCCAGAAAATTAGGCTGCCTATAATGGCCATTCCTTGAGAGACTCAGTTAATAAAGGTTTTACTTTCGAGGAAAGAGTGAGTGTGACAGAGAGAAAGGTAGAGGGAGAGGGAGAGAAAACAGACATAGAACTCATTTCAGTGTTCTTTTTTCTATTGCAAATGGCAAGTGACACCGGAGATGCTGACTCGCTTTCTTGCCTCCCGCAGACCCGCCCCTGCGCCTGGCGGGCGGGCGCAGCCGCTGCGAGGGCAGGGTTGAGGTCCGGCACCAGGGCGTGTGGGGCACGGTGTGCGACGACCTCTGGAACATCAAGAACGCCCGCGTCGTGTGCCGCGTCCTGGGCTGCGGGCGCGCGCTGGGCGCCCCGGGGCGCGGCAGCTTCGGCGCGGGCTCCGGGCCCATCTTGCTGGACAACGTGCGCTGTGCGGGCACCGAGGATGCGCTGGAGCGCTGCGCCCACGCGGGCTGGGCTCGCCACAACTGCCATCACGGGGAGGACGCGGGTGTGGTCTGCGCAGGTACCCGAGCTCCCCCCAACTGAGGCCAGGCCCTCCCTGGGGTGTTCCTAAGGCTCCGTCCCTTTTGGTCTCTCCAAGCATTCCTAAGGTTCAAAGTAACACCTCAAGGAATTTCAGATTGACGAAGGCCCCAGATTCTAGGATAACAAGGGGGATTTGTTATATAACCGTTGTGGTAAATGTTTTAATCATACAGGCGTGGTATTTTATTAACCAGTTCTAATTCCAATTCAGCACAATAATTGTCCAGAAATATAGCTAAAAGATTATGAGGCCAAAGAAAGGAGCAGCAGTGTAATCAAATGATGACAGCCACACTCATGTTTGTGTTCCCGCATGAGGGTGGCATCTCAGCTTCGAACCCTGGGCTGGTTCCTTAGTATTGGTTTTATAAAAGTTGCTGCCTTTTTAATCGACTGCCATTTTCAACTACCCCTCCTCCAGGCCTTTGCTGGAAGGGGATGGAAACGTGTCATTTGTTAAAAAAAAAAAGAAAGAAATTAAGGAAGGAAAAAAAAAAACATTGCATTTGTTTGGGAAAAAAAAAGACAGAGCTAGAACTTGCTATCAGTAAGACTTGCCTGCCTCCCTTCAACCTCTGACAAGGCCAGCAAGGGCACAGTGCTAGACAGACTCCCTTTTCCACCTTGACCTGGTCCTCAGAAGTCAGACCCTGCCCTGTCCTGGGTTCCCCTGGTGTGTGCCTCTCATCTCAGATTCAGCATATACCTGAAATAGTTTTTATCACCAAATATCTGTCTTGGCATTCTGAGGCTGACTTCCTTCTGTGTGGAGTTGTACTTCCTTACATCTGTCCTAAATTTACCCACAGAGATCTCATGGCGTGATGGAATTCTAAGATTAGGTGAACAAGTCTTAAGCTAACCTTCTCTCTTCCATTCTTAGTTTTCTACCAGTCAATCCAAGGGATCATTGCTGTTCATTTTACCTTTATGGGGGAGTCACTCTTGTTTTGCATAGAAATGGGGCCCAAATAGAAAAGCTCTCTGAGACCCTTTGAGACAAACATTAATCCCACAGAGCTGTGGAGTGTGAGTCTGCCTGGGATTATGGGCTCCTTATCTTCCAGATCCTCACTTTTACTGTCTCATTCCTCTTGCTGCCGGGGATCCCACTGAAAATGGTAATTCATTTTCCATTCTTGGATTATACACCAACGGGTTTCCATTTCATCGTGTGCAGCAAGCAAAGGACCAGTGGTCTGGGGCTGACAGTGTCTGCAGGGCCGAGTGAATCTGGCTGGCCATGCTTGCTGGCCTGGGCCCCCGCCCTGGGTTACTCTCTTGCTTTGCTTCCGGGTCGGGAGGCCTTTGATAGCCACAGACCGCATAGTCCCCAGCCTGAGCTGCCAAGCATGCCATGTGCATAGGAAGGGACACCAGGCAGCGTTCATCCATGTGACAGTGTTTATAACCTGCAAAGCCCTGTATTTACTGTTCTTTTGCTCCAACAAATCTTGGTATTGATGACACCATATTCTCAACACTGCATCACACATTTCAGAATCCCTCCCTCCAGCTCCATCAGGAGGCCCTGAGCCCGCCCTTCCTTTGCATTGCCCTGGAGTATTTTCATGCCATCATGCTCCAGCTTTAAGAGCTGAATCAAAGGAGCCCATTTGCCTACCATTCAAGTCTCTTGCTGGCTACATCGCCCCCTCCCAGTGCATCTGCACAGCTGACATTTGCTTTTCCTTGTCTCCCCTACCAGGTCCAGCTGACTCTGTTGTACCCAAGGACAATGGTAAAGTCTTCCCCTTTCCTGGGTGTGAGGCTATGGAAAGGGGAGCTAAGAGAGCCACTGTCGGGAAGAACAGGCCGTGAGGGGGGCCAGCTCCTGTGTCTTCTCTGAGATCTCTTGTTTTTCCATCCTCTTGCTGAGCTTTAGGAAGTTGGGGGAAGAAGCTCCTTTGCACCCTGCGCCTCGGCTTCCACTCTCTTTTTCCACCCTACCTCTTATACAAAGGTCCAGAGAGACGCATGTTCAGGCTTAGGTGTTCTCAACATGTGAAACGAGCTATCCTTTAAATCCTCAGAAGGGGCTCTGACTCAGGGCCCACGGGACGTATGCTGTGGGTAGGATTCCCCACAGACATGTTGTGACTTTTGGAAAGGTGGAGGGGATATAGATAAAGAAAGTCAAGTTGATGGTAAGGGGTGATGAGCGCTGAGCCAGCCACAACGTAGGGCGCTGTCCATGGTACTTTTAGAAAGTAAACACACTCAGACCCCTGAGTACACTGCATGTCCAGTGTACCAGGTTCTCTTTGTGAGTTTCTCCCCATCCTCCTCCTCCTCCAGCCCAGCTCTCCTGCCTGCCTCACCTCTTCCAAGTCGTCATTGACCGAGGCTACCTCCGGAGGCTGGGCTACTCCTCCTGGGACATCCATTTAAATGATGAGCTGTGTCGCCCCCAACTCACAGGGCGCTACCTGATCTTCAACATTCCCTATGGCCACTGTGGCACCATCCGACAGGTATGAATCTGACAAGGTGGTGGTACCCTTTTGTGGATGGAGGTCAAAAAGAGAAGTTTGGAAAATTCAACCACCTGTTAAAAATCTGAGTAGAGACAGAGGAAGGGCATAAGCTGTGACTTTGTTTCTGAGTTCAGTGAGACTTGGAGCAGCTCCCTAATTTGCCTGAAGCTTTCCTTCTTTTGGGGAATTTGGGATACATTCTGAGTTTGGAATACATAGTAACAAGTGTAGACGGCTGATGGACTAATGGATGGGTTGATAGATAGGTGCTGTTCTCTCAGCTGC